GTTAGAAAGCAGTCACGTTTACCACTACACCACCGGAATTCATTTTGTTTAGTGATCATGAATTTCAAGATTCATGACATAGAGCTTGGGATTAAACCCATGATTTTCTGTTCAGTAAGCAAAAACGATCCCTCCAGGGTCATCGAGCATCTCAGTACCATAACGCTTCGCGACAATACAGGACTACGTTTTCGCTTGATATGCAAATAGTTTTCGAGATTAATGTTCAATATCAAATATACAAATGATGGTGGTGATTTATTGTGATGTGGATGAGCTTGGGGTTAAATCCATGATTTTCTGCTCAGTAAGCAAAATCGATCCCTCCAGGGTCATCGAGTGTCTCATAATCCACAGCGCTTCGCGTCAAAGTACGAATACATTGATGAACTATCTATTATTGAATAACTATTATTTAGAATAATTACATGAAAAAAAATATAAACTACAAACAAGACGTGACTACTAAAATTTCAAAAAAAAATTCTCACAAATATATTTCACGCAACCAGGAATCTCAAAACCATTAGACGCTATAATGATATTCTGCACATGTTAGACACAAGAAGAGGCCAAAAAGCAAGCGTCCGACACACAAAACCCGCCAAATCCACTTGCAGTCACAATCAACGATTCTACGAATCGCGAGCGCTCACGAATCATAAAACCACCGACTGCGACACTCTGTAAGCAAAATTGACGGGCTCCATACGTCAAACACCCGCCCTCCAATCTCCTCCCGCATCCAACAACACAAATCTCCGTTACAACACCTAACGAATTCAATACTCCGAAAATCACTCATCTATAGCAAGTGAGTGGAAGCAAGCCTGCATGCAACCATTCTTCATGATACACTTTTTCTGCCTATCTTTCTATTAGGCCTGTGGACATGCGTTAGTTTCGAAATTTCTAACCAAACTGGGAAAATTTTCAGATCACAAAAAAAAACTTGAAAAAAAAACTTTCAAATGTAATTACAAGTAAAACAATTATTGATTATTTTGCGCAAAATGAGCAAGTAATATTAAATCTATTGTATTGTATGCTAATGCTAATTGACTGTTACAAAAATAAAATGCTTAAATAAAATAAAATATTAATAAAATTATATGCAAAATTTACTAGAAAATCATTACTTTATTGGTGAGAAATTTCTAATAAGCCCTCCCAGTTCCTCTGTATACAGAACAAATCTTATACTATAATCAGAATTGCTCAGTCTGCATGAAGCAGCCGATTTCATCAAGGAAGTTCTATTAACAACCAAGAATTAATCGTTTTAGGCATACTGAAGCATTAAGAAGGTGATATGTGTCACTATAGGAAATCATCATCGTTGCAAATATGAAGAAATTAAACATAACCCTTTGCTTCAGTACCGTCAACCTCCATGTCCATGGGGAGGGCTAAATTACGAAAACGGGGTATAACGCACATTAAATAAACTAAAAGAGCAGGCGACAGAGTGTCGCTGAAAGGAAATGAAAGCCGAATTGAGGCTTCGATTCAACTCGAAAATCGACGTTACTTCCATGAAAAGGAAGAGAGCAAAGCAAGACGAGAAAGTCCACAGCTAGGCTTTCGTTCTTAGCGTGCTTTGTTTTCGTTTTCGTATGTCAATACTTTTACTTGTTTTCGTACAAGGGGCAAACAAAGCACTTGATTGCTACTTTAGGATGATGTTTAACATCGTTTGAACAAAATTGAGCGCTCAAGGACTTTATTTGACCCGCTGGCGATAATAGGTAAAAGTATTGTCAGTGCCGTGATTTTCTCTATGTGAAATAAAAATAATTAATACTCAACATTTTAGAACTTCAAATGGTGCAATTACCCACCATGGGTGTCAGAAAATGGGAACCTTAGATTTTGTTTAATATGTGGTTAAAATAGTTCTTCGACTAAAATTAACTACTCCTGTAAAACCACGTGCTTATCATTAATATGAGAGGTTAAATTAGCAGATTCCTCAAAGACATTTTGCAGTATTTTATCGCCCTGATCATAACGTATTAAAAGACCGAAAATCAAGATACTGTCCTATCCTATCTAAACAAATTCTAAGCTGAGTTTGAGGTTAACGAGGGTCTTCCGTCGCAGATAAACTGCCTAGTTATGAAAGAATGCTGGATAAATGTGCCAACATTCTTCACAACAATTGTTCAGAGATTTCGCAATAACAGATAATGGCATCCCATACATTCTGCCAAATTGGCAACTCCATCTCATATCTCATCATTATCACCTTACTAACAAATGGTAAACCAACCACTCTTCTTCTTGTTGAACTTAACCGGGGAGAAAGTCCACACCAAATTCACCCAAAAAAGTGAATAAGGGCTTCGAAACATTATGTTAGCCCTCAATAAGCCTTATATAGTAAAAAGGCAAAATAACGGGGTTGTTGATACACCACTACTAGCACAAAAAATTTTATAAGCACAAAAAACTTTTCCAATCGCCAGTCAATTCGACGTGGACTTTTCCCGAAGAAAAGCACTCTCGGTAGATTTTCCCACCCAGAAGGGATAAGAAGAAGCCCCTTCACTTCCGGATCACCGTTCATCTTTCACCTCTCCTCCCACATTCATTCATCATACGCCGACAAACATGGGCAAACATTTGCTGCCCCAAACGTTCCATCGCTCGCTATGAATGAATTATGAAGGAGGCATGCAGCATCAGCCAGCCGTGGGAAACGTGCTGTGTCAGAGAGGTGATGTACCCCCGAGGAACTGTAATGGAAATGGGTTTCCGCAGAAGTGGTCGGTTCCGAAGGCTGAACGAAGATGTTTTCCCTTTCTTGAAATGCAGAAGTGTGGAATTTGAGGCGGCTAGAATTATGTAAACGCCAACTCAGAACTCATAACCACCGTCTGTCTGACTGCTGCCTGAGTGCATGTCAATTACACGTCAATTGTGTTTGCGGAGCTTCCCATCTTCACAAAATGTGGCAATAAGTAACTGACATATGCTGAGTCAATGTTGTGTTAGGAGAGAAAAAGGTGAATTTGGATGGAAATGAATATTTGAATATTCGTTGGTGTACATATTTTGTATGATGTGCCAAATAATGCAAAATTATCTTAAAACAAACGTACATTTCTCCAACGCCTTATTCTCTTCTGAAATTTACAGAATCACTTCCAAAGAATTCTTTAGTACTTCAAGCCAGTTTTAAATTTCAGATTATAAAATTACATCAGAACTCAAAACAGGATCAATGCCAGCCAGACCAAGAGCTCTGGACCACATTAGCCAAAACCGGCCCCCAGGCCCCAAGCCATGCCCGGAACTGATCAACCGCGGCGCCAATGGCCAGAATTGATTTGGTTATCATATTTTGTAATAATTTGTTCTGTCACATGATAGGTTTTATTCCTTCCCTTTCAAATTTTGTATCATGGCTCACATTCCCCGTAACATGTTCTTGCTACATTTCCAGCACCAGTTGACCGATTCTAAATCTGTTCAATAATGTTCTATGGGCTAGGCTATGGAATCATAATATAAGCTGTACTTTGCATTAGGTCCTTAGTAACATTGACAGATTCTCTTCGTCGACTTTCTCTTTGGTTCTGCATACAGAATAGTTAAGCAACATTGTCGTTGTTCAACGTGATGATCCAGAATTAGGAAGCATTCGAATTTGTCTTGACGCAATACCTCTCAACAAAGCATTGAAAAGACCTCACCTTCAATTTAACACACTGAATGACATCCTCCCGGAGCTAGGAAAGGCTAAAATCTTTTCCAATTTCGATTCCAAAAGTGGTTTTGACATTTTGAGTTGGATGATCCCTAGCAGCAAACTCCCAACGTTTTGGACACCGTTTGGAAGGTACCGATGGACCCGTTTGCCAATCGGTATTTTATCGGCCCCCAAGATTTGTTTTAAACAGTTGACAACCCAAGGGGCTGGTCACTTCGCACAGTGTGCCAAATATACAGATGGGCACCCCAAATTTTTATGGTATTTAAAGTTACTGGCAACCAATGCTGAGATTTGTCATTGTCATTGACAGACTTTTGCGTGATAGTGACAAAATTGTTTTTCACATAGTCAATGATAGACTTGATCCTCAAAAAAATCTTTGTCAAAATCTCATTCATTTTTTCGTCAATGACAAAGATTCACCTGGTAACAGAAAGGGTAATTTCTTGCATTCTGAGTCACATTATTGTTATCCAAGCTGTTCAGGACGTAGATGCTTGTTCACTTTAATGGCTCCATGTGATTGTTTTCCTCAAGCCATTTAATTTCATATTAAATTTAGCTAATAAACAAATCAGCACATGTTCGTCGCTGACAAAAATGCCACTGACAATTGACATGGTTTGCCTTGACGATGACTGTTAGCTCAAACGAGTGACCAAAGCAGAATTTTGAGTATCACCGTGTATTGTCGAAATTGTGCAGCACTGCTGGCAACACTCTACTATATCTGCGCCTGCTCTGGTGCATGTCAAGATAGAGCTGGAATTAGAACGTAGCAGCTTTTGTGCCCTGTTACACGAAGGGGGTGGGAAGAGCTATCTGCAACAAAGGAACAAGATTTGCTAGCGGATCTGACTGAATTTCTCCATCGAGGTCTGTTGACACTAGGGGTGTTCAGCAGACACAATCACAACAGAAGCAGAAATCATCATCGGTGAAGGCCAGCTATGGCTCAACCCAAACGTCTGGGGGACGCTCCGTGGTCTGCTCAACAAATCATCCGCTTTATCAGTGCAACGCTTTCCAACGGCTGGAAGTTTCAGACAGAGATGCTCTTCTGAAGACACACTCGCTCTGCCGGAATTGCTTCAAAGCCGGACACTTGGCTAGGGAATGCCAATCCAAATATTCTTGTCGGCACTGTAAGGGTCGCCACCACTCACTGGTGTGTTTCAACCCAAAAGAAGATGGTGATAAACGGGTATCAGCTGCTGCTGGATGCAACAAACCTTTTCCTCCTGAAGATCCATCAAAATCTCGTTCCATCCAAGTAGCTAGCATGACAGCTACGAATGCATTGGTGTCTGGTACGGTCCACCAGCATGCATCACAGGTACTGTTGGCAACGGCTGTCGTTATAATTGAGGATGACAATGGCTGTCGCCATCACGCTCGCGCTCTTCTGGACTCAGGGTCGGAGAGCAATTTTATCACTAAGCGATTGAGTCAGCTGATGAAGGTAACTCGCGACCGAGTGGATATATCGGTGCTCGGGATTGGACAAGCGACCATCAAGGTCAAACAAAGGGTACACGCATTGGTGCGCTCACGAGTGTCTCAGTTCTCACGTGAACTAGACTTTCTGGTTCTCCCGAAGGTGACGGTGAACCTGCCAACAATCAGAGTGGATACGAATGGATGGTCGCTTCCAAGCGGAATTAAATTGGCTGATCCCGCATTTTTCGAACCGAACGCAGTGGATCTCGTTCTCGGTATCGAACACTTTTTCGATTTCTTCGAAACTGGTCGAAGAATGTCCCTGGGAGAAGGTAATCCAGCTCTCCATGAGTCCTTATTTGGATGGATAGTAAGCGGTGGTGTCTCTGTTCCATCTCGCTCTCTCCAAATCACATGCAATGTATCGATGCTGGATGAGTTAGATGCATTGATCTATCGTTTCTTGTCCTGTGAGGAGGTTGAGTCAGGCAAGGCTCACTCGCCGGAGGAAACACAGTGTGAAGACATCTTTGACAGCACAGTACAACGAGGTTCGGACGGTCGGTACACCGTCTCATTACCGATGAATGAAGACGCCGTCTCACGGGTGGGCGATTCAAGGGACATCGCATACCGGCGTCTCCAAGGAACGGAACGCAGACTGGCTAAGGATTCATCGCTTCGGGAACAATACAATGCTTTTATGGAGGACTACATCAAGCTCGGTCACATGCGTGAGGTGGTTGAAACGGATACGGAGTTGGTTAAACGGTGCTTCCTCCCACACCATCCAGTCATCAAGGAGGCTAGTACCACAACCAAGGTGAGGGTGGTTTTCGACGCGTCGTGCAACGGAGTGTCACTCAACGACGTGCTAATGACAGGGGCAGTCATTCAGGAGGACCTTCGATCCATTACACTCCGCAGTCGGACAAAACAAATCATGCTTGTGTCGGACGTTGATAAAATGTTCCGACAAATTCTTGTTCACCTACTGGAACGTGCATTGCAGTGCATTCTGTGGCGCTTTTCACCTGCGGAATGTGTTCATCTGTACGAGCTCAACACCGTGACATATGGTACTAAATCGGCACCTTTCCTGGCGACAATAACGCTCAAACAGCTAGCCTTGGATGAAGAGGCACAATATCCACTCGCAGCGAGAGCGGTTCTCGATGACACCTACATGGACGATGTCATTACAGGGGCGGACGACGAAGAAACAGCAACCACATTGCGGGTACAGCTGAACACAATGATGTCAAGTGGTGGATTCAAGCAGCGGAAATGGGCTTCGAATTGCCCAGCGGTGCTGGAAGGAATTCCGGAGGAAGACATGGCGATTCGGTCGTCAGAAGGGATTGTTTTGGATCCAGATCCCTCAATCAAAACACTGGGGCTAACTTGGATGCCAGTCTCCGATACTCTCAAGTACCAGTTTTCAGTTCCTAGTCTGAACCCTGATACATCGCTCACTAAACGATACGTGCTGTCAGTAATTGCCACACTGTTTGACCCTCTGGGGCTCTTGGGAGCTGCCATAACATCGGCCAAGATATTTATGCAACAATTATGGGCATTACGTGACGGACAAGGTCAAAGGCTTGATTGGGACCAGTCGCTACCATCGACGGTGGGTGAGCCCTAGAGAAAATTCCACGAACAGCTACCACTGTTCAATGAAATACGCATTGACCGTTGTGTCATCACTTCGAATGCTGTCTCGACGGAGATCCACTGTTTCTCGGATGCCTCGGAGAAGGCGTATGGAGCATGTCTGTACATGAGGAGCAGAATGTCAACGGAGAAGTGAAAATTTGTCTTCTTACCTCCAAATCAAGGGTAGCGCCTTTGAAATGTCAAACAATTCCCCGACTGGAATTGTGCGGGGCGCTCCTTGTGTAATAGGCCATGTGATATCTTTCTTAGACATCGACTAGTCGCCGTGAGGGTTCACATAATGAATGTTTATTCTTGTATCAGTTTGGTTACATCTTACTTAAACTCTACACATCTTCATAATTCTACACAAATAACAATTAGGTGGGGAGGCGCTTGGAGTTGCCGTTTTAACCAATAAGAGTTCAATTAGAAATTTGTCAACAAGAGAGAAGTCGACGCTAAAACAAATGGGAAAGAGAGTTCGGCGCTGTGACTTGTAACATGATGCGCTTGGCGTCTGTCAGGCTTATTGGTGCATAAGCAAGAATTATCGATTGGCTATAAGTGTCGTGTATGGGAACAAATGTGGTTCGGAGAAGGAAGAGTCAATTTACGGTTCGCTATCTGGGAATGTTTTGAGGTGACGAAAACATGGGTCATCGTTTAGTGCTGCATGGGAAAATGCGTTCGCAATAATTTAATTTGAAGTGGTGTTTTACACTTGTGCAACTAAGCAATCAATTGTAAACCTCCACCGAGCTGATGGTTTGAAGTATGAGAACTTTTGGTTTGGATTGTGGGAATGTCTGGGTTTTGTCAATTGTGTCAATGTAAGGATTTTATGAACTGTGGGAATGTTTGGAACCTTGAAGCATGAGCTAATGAAGGCTTGAGGATAATGTGTGGCATGCATGTTTCATGTCACTGGCGTTCATGATAATTTATGATAATTTGGAAATATTAGAAATGCTACAATTTGGGATGCTACACCTTCCCCCTTTGGGAGAATGATGCAATGAAATGAAATCATTCGTCATAGGCTTTTCTCCAAGTACCTCATATAAAAATGTTCTTAATTTTTAATCCTAACCGAATTTCGCACTTCTTAGTTCGTGACTAAGATTTTTTTTTTTTTTTTTTTTTTAGATTTTGATTGTTCTGTTTTTGTGTACTTTTGTTACTTTTTGTGTTTCTTTATGTTTAATTTTGCAGTTTGGGTCATCTATTTCGGTTACAATGAATGGTCCTAAGTAAAATGGATCAAGTTTTCTGCGGTTTTCGTTACTGAGATACACTTCATCTCCTACTTTTATATCGATTTTATTTGTATTTCTATTGCATACTTCTTGTCTTTTTGTTTTTTGTTCAAGTAAATTTTGTTTTGCTACTAAATTTGTATTTTGTAATCTAAATCTGAGTTCTTGAAAGTATTGTTCTGGATTATATAGAGGTTGAATTGGTGTATTGTTATCCGGTAAATCATGTGGTAATATAGCTTTTCTGCCGAAAACTAGTTCATATGGCGTATAACCATGTTGTGTGTTTGGTGTCGTATTGTATGAGAATGCATAAAATTTTGTCCATTCATCCCAGTCTAAATGGTGAGCATTGGTGAAGGATCTCAGATACTCGTTGAGACATCTGTGATTCCTCTCCAATGCACCTATTGTCTGAGGGTGATAGGCTGTTGCAAATGTTTGTTTAATTTCCAGTAATTTACAGATCTGCTCAAAAACTTCGTTATTAAATTCGGTACCTTGATCAGATTGTAACTGAAGAAAGTTTCCATATATCAAAATAAAATTATCTACTAATGCTCTTGCCATTGTAGAGGCTTCTTTAGTTGGTACTGGTATAAGAACTATGTATTTTGTAAGGTTACATTGTATAGTTAAAATGTATCTATTTCCATTATTTGTCATACCAAATGGTCCTGCAGTATCAATCGAAAGCAATTCGAAAGGTTTTGTAGGAGTCGTGGTAATAACAGTAGGTTCCTTGGTATGTCTATAAATTTTGTTGATTTTGCATTTTTCACAATTTCTCACAAAATTCTTTATATTGTTTTTCATATTTTTCCATGTAAATTGTTCTCTCAATTTTAAATATAATCTATGTTGCCCGATATGTCCTCCCGTAGGTGTCATATGGTGATTGATTAAGATATCATTTATTTCATTTTGGTTCTGCAGAAACTTTGGTGGTTTATATAGTACCAGCTGGTAATTAGAAATGGCTCGATTCGCGATTTCCTTTAATGTTTCAATTGTAATTGTTGTAAAAAGCTCATCTAAAATAGAGATGGCGACCATGGTTCTTTTATATTTTCTCAGTAGTTTTTCGATTTCTAGAAGTGCAAACTCTAGTGCTTGACTTCCATTTGTATTTTTATAGCGCGCGCATTTTAAGTTTACGTTAATTTCTCCTAAAATTTTTCTATAATTATGGTTAAATAATGTCATCTTCAATTGGTTGTGGTGCACATCACATCCAATCTTAAGATATTTTCTAACTTCCGAAGGATTCTCGGTTTGCCAAGCCGTGAGGTGATCAGTCTCATAGTCTGGCATCGTTGAACTATCGGGTTTTGGTGAATTCGTGTTTTTGAGTTTTCTTGTCATGGCCCTTGTGTTAACCATGAGAACGGATAATGTTTTTAATTCTTCTGATTTTACAGGTATACGTGATAATGCATCAGCACACACATTTGATTTTCCTGCTAAAAACTCTATATCGAAGTCAAATTCTTCAAGGTCTAATCTCATCCTTGTCAATTTTGATGTCGGTTTTTTCATACTAAACAAATAAACTAATGGTCTATGATCTGTTTTAACAGTAAATCTTCGACCATATAGATATGATTTAAAGTAATCAACAGCCCAATGTATGGCTGTTAATTCCTTTTCAATAATTGGTTTCGAACGTTCCCCTTGGGTGAAACTTTTGCTAGCGAAGGCTATTGGAAAATCACCTTCCGGATAGCGTTGGGAAAGTACTGCTCCACATGCTAAATCAGATGCATCCGTAGTCAAAATAAATTCTTTAGAAAAATCTGGATATCGCAAAATTTGTGGTTCCATTAAAAGTTTTTTCAATTTTTGGAAACTATATTCTTGAGTATCATTCCACTGGAATGTTACTCCCTTTTTAAGCAACATATTTAAAGGTTTGGCAATGTCTGCGAATTGTGGTACGAATTTACGGTAATAATTGCAAAAAGCAACAAACCTACGTACTTCATCAATATTAGTTGGTCTGGGGTAATTTTTCAATACTTTAAATTTGGAATCGTCTGGAAGAATTCCTTTATCTGTAATTTTGTGTCCGAGGTATGTAACTTCAGTCAAGAAAAATTTACATTTCATTGGATTCAATTTGAGATTATAATGTCTCAATCTATCAAAAACTGTATTTAAATTACTAAAATGATGTTTTTCAGAACATCCGATGACAACGATATCATCAATGTAGATAAATGCACATTCAGGTGTTAATCCAGCCATCGCGATTGTCATCATTCGCTGGAAGCTATTGGGACTAACATTCAAACCGAATGGCAACCTTTTGAAATGAAAATGACCGTTAGGGGCTGAAAAAGCTGTGTACTTTCTAGACTCATGATCCAATGGTATTTGGTGAAACCCCGCCATTAAATCTAGAGTGCTGAAGTACTTCGCTCTCCCTAATTGGTCTAAAATAACATCAATACGTGGCAATGGAAATTTATCTGCCAACACTTTTTTATTTAATTGTCGAAAATCGACTACCAATCTCCATTTTTTTGAATTATCATTGCTCTTCTTAGGCACTAAAAGAATAGGTGAATTATACGATGAAACTGATGGTTCAATTATTTCATCGTCTAGTAGTTTTTTGATTTGATTGTCAATTTCATTACCTTGTGAATGGATAGTTTTATAGTTTGGAATATAGACCGGTACTTGGTCTTTCAATAAAATGTTTTGTGAATAAAAATTGTTATGAGTTAATTTTTCATTCTCTAAACTAAATATATCTGAATATTTATCAATCAGATTTTTTAAAGGTGTATGAACATAAGAAGGTATTTCATTAAAATTTATTAGGGAAAGAATTTTATTTGTTCTTTCAGATTTGTTATTAAAAGTTCCTTCACTTGTATCTACTTTTAAATATTCGTTTAAAGGTTCACAAGTAGGTCTAAAATTAGAAATTGCTACTTGTACAGATGTGGTATTTATAAATTTAATGTATGGTGATTCATGGGATACAATTGTATTTCCACAGAAAACACCTGGTAGTATTTCCTGTGAGAGCACAACTGTATCCTCACTTACACAGAAATGTGGTAATTTTCTGATTACTTCACATCTTGGTGGTATTATGATATTATCATTCAATTTGTCCTCAATTGGTATGGAGATAAATTGATTGTTAAAATTAAAATTTAATAGCCAATTATTATAATCGATAGTACACCTGTACTTGATAAAGAAATCGCGTCCAAGTATACCATCCGTATGTATAGGTATTAGTTCATCTACTAGTTGGAAGCAATGCGCTATAGTTAAATTATTATCAAACGTAAGATTAGTCATAGTTTCAGCTATCGTTTCAGTTATTCCGTCAGTTACTCCTGAAATTTTTAGTTTTTTGTTAAAATCTACTATTTGCATTGGGGAGACTTTTGATACTTTAAAAAGAGATACGTCAGCTCCACTATCTACAATGAATGTACATTTGCAGTTTGCCATTTGGACGTACAATGTCACAAAGTTAACCGCTTTTAAATTTATTGTATAAATTGTCTTGCAGGGTATTGACCCTGGTTCGTTTGTCCTAAAAAATTTAAGTTTTGTTGTGGTGTTCCTGCTGGAACTGTTAATTGTGATGGGTCCCTTTGCAATGGTGGGATTAAATATCCTCCATTGGGCATGTTTGTCCCCATCGGTTGTGGATTTTCCACGTTTGTCATATAAACTTGTCGAGATCTGTTATCTCGGCGACCTCCTCTGGTGTAATTTCCAGATATATTGTTTCTATTTGGAAACCGTGCTTGGAATCTGTTGTTTGTGCTATATCTGTTATTGTTATAATTATTACCATTATTGTTTGAACGGTAATTATTGAATCTATTATGGTTGTTAGAGGTATGATTTCCAGTTCCTGTTCTGCGTCCACGATAATGTCGGTCGTTGTTGTTCTGTCTTTGAGCATTGAATGACATAATTTGTGTTGGGGTTTGTACGGAAGCTGTATTTTCTTGCACTTTTTGTAAAGCGTCTTTTATATTTGTGAAGGTTCCGGCCTTCAAAATCAATTTTGTTTCAAAATTATTGACTCCATTAATAAGAGCTTCAACTCCGGCTTTCGTTGCCATTGATTTAGCAACTTCCTCGGGAATGCCTTGTCCCAAATAAATGCTTTTTAATTTATTAGATAAGGCATCAACTTCATCGCAAATCGTATTTGTATCGCCTTTCTGTTTAGTGTTTTTCAATTTTGCTAAGATGTTCTCTGGTGAAATTCTTTCAGAGCATCTTGCTTTTACATCATTCACCATGGCATCTATTGTTACTAGGTTTTCAGGTAAGCCAATTCTAGCTTTTCCTGTTAATCTTGTTTTTAAGAATTTGACAGCCATTGGTATTTGTTCTGCTGTCACATAATCCTTCAATAGATTTGCTGCGTCAACAAACGCATCTAAATTGTCAGCGGTACCATCGTACTGTTGTACGATGGCTGTTGCTGTTTTGATATCGAACACTTGTGGATTTGCCATTTTCTTTTTTGAATTAACTTGATTAATAAAAATGATTACCAAAACACATGATTTAAAGGATAACGTTTTCCTGGCGTTTTTCAATTTGAATTGTAAAATATCATAAATTGCATTATATTCTAAACGTGTAGCCTTAATCAGAAATTCTAGTTCCTGAGTGTTAATTGAATTTTCATTTTTTTGTAATTCTTGATTAATTTCTGAATATATTTTCTTAATATTATTAATTTTTTTGATAATTGTGCACCTTAAATATGTTCTATTGGGTGCTTTTTTCAAATTTAATTGAATTTTTGCTAATTTACTAAGGAGAGTTTCAATGCTCTCAGGAAATTCTGTTGTCATGTGAGTTTATTCAATTACAATTAATGAATCAAATGAATTAAAATTTTAAGATTGTTTTTTTTTTTTTTACCTTCATTATCTTCTGCTTAAAACATCTTGGTTGTCCTCGCTCGTACCCGTACCTCAGATGGTTGAAATCCCGCCTGCCGGTCCTCCGACAGTGGTCTCGCCTGCAGTTGAATTATTTTTTGATGTATTTTTATCACTTCACTTCTGCGTCTTAGTTCACTCATTGTTTTTATTTTAGTCAAAATAAACTAGTCCGTCAACTATACGGTAGTTTGGATATTTCTTCTCGAGGTACACTGTTTTTGGATCACGACAGCAACGATTTTTATCGCAAACACCTAACTTGTGCTGTAAATTCGCGATTATGTCCATTTTCTGATGATGTTCTGCCAGGGCTGTAATCTCTGCCCAAAACTGGCGTATTTCTTCTAATGACATTTTTCCGCTCATGATGTAAATTTTGCTTTTCAGCCACAGTTATGTCGTCTTTCAATTTTTGTTTTTGTAAAGTTCAGTGTGTTCACTTTTCGCGCTCACTTTTCACGCTGTTCACTTTTCGCACCCGCGCATCTTCAAACGTTCACGCTCTGCAAAGATTGCAGTCTAGCAGCTGTTGCTGCTACTCGCTCAGTGCGGCTGGTGTTGTAGCCGTTAAAAATTTTCAGAGCACCGTAGCCTAAAGCTACTGCCGCGAGAATGCACAGAGCCACATTTTGCGTTGTTAAATTGTCTGAACTTGCACTATTTGCGGAAGTTGAGATTACTTCATCCGCGCTGAACCAACCCATATTGATCGTTTATTGTCACTTTTGTTGAGTACTACTGGCACTGAAGGCACTGAATTTTTCACTGATCACAAGGTTTCAACTTTAACTTTTCACAGTATTCGCGCCACTTGTCAACGGTCAGCCATGTAATAGGCCATGTAATATCTTTCTTAGACATCGACTAGTCGCCGTGAGGGTTCACATAATGAATGTTTATTCTTGTATCAGTTTGGTTACATCTTACTTAAACTCTACACATCTTCATAATTCTACACAAATAACAATTAGGTGGGGAGGCGCTTGGAGTTGCCGTTTTAACCAATAAGAGTTCAATTAGAAATTTGTCAACAAGAGAGAAGTCGACGCTAAAACAAATGGGAAAGAGAGTTCGGCGCTGTGACTTGTAACATGATGCGCTTGGCGTCTGTCAGGCTTATTGGTGCATAAGCAAGAATTATCGATTGGCTATAAGTGTCGTGTATGGGAACAAATGTGGTTCGGAGAAGGAAGAGTCAATTTACGGTTCGCTATCTGGGAATGTTTTGAGGTGACGAAAACATGGGTCATCGTTTAGTGCTGCATGGGAAAATGCGTTCGCAATAATTTAATTTGAAGTGGTGTTTTACACTTGTGCAACTAAGCAATCAATTGTAAACCTCCACCGAGCTGATGGTTTGAAGTATGAGAACTTTTGGTTTGGATTGTGGGAATGTCTGGGTTTTGTCAATTGTGTCAATGTAAGGATTTTATGAACTGTGGGAATGTTTGGAACCTTGAAGCATGAGCTAATGAAGGCTTGAGGATAATGTGTGGCATGCATGTTTCATGTCACTGGCGTTCATGATAATTTATGATAATTTGGAAATATTAGAAATGCTACAATTTGGGATGCTACACTTGCGTCAGAGCTCTTTGAAAAGGTTGCACAATCGATTCGGTTCAAGGGAAAGTCGTTTTTCTGGACAGATTCCACCTGCGTTCTGCGTTGGATAGAAGCTCCTCCAATGACTTGGACCACCTTCGTTGCAAACAGAGTTTCAAAAATGCAGTCCATTACCCAGGAATCTCAATAGCGACACGTTCCAGGAATTCAAAATCCCGCAGATCTTATCTCCAGAGGGATTTCACCGGAAGATATCGTGAACAATTCGTTCTGGTGGCAAGGACCGAGCTGGCTAGAGGAAGAAGAAGGTCAATGGCAAAGCCTGCCACATAATTCACCAACTGGAGAAGGAGATGAAGAAAAACGGCGGACTGTAGTTGCTGCACCAGCTTCTGTATTCGCCGAATTCAACCAAACGTACTTCAGCAAGTTCTCGTCCTACACAGATCTTGCTCGTTGCACAGCATATTGGCTGCGTTATATGAAGCTTCTACGAACACCGCGAATGGAGAGGAATTGCCCAGCGTACCTGTCGTCGGCAGAGCTGAAGGAGGCGGAAAACACCATGGTCCGCTTGGTACAGAAGGAAGTTTTCGAGACAGAATGGAAGGCGTTATCCAAAGAGGAGGCTGTTGTGAGAGGATCGGCGTTGCGGTGGTTCAATCCATTCATATCGACAGATCAACTAATTCGGCTTGGCGGCCGTTTGAAGCATTCCATGGACACGGAAGAAACCAAGCATCCGGTTGTACTGCCAGCACGGCATCTATTCACTCACATGCTGCTACGACACTACCACGAGCGACTGCTACACGCTGGACCACAACTGCTGTTGAGTGTTGTAAGACTTCGCTTCTGGCCGTTAGGAGGAAGGAGTGTGGTGAGGAACATAATCCACAGATGTCAGACGTGCTTTCGCTCGAAACCATCGTCAGTCCAACAACAGATGGGGGATCTACCATCGTCACGAGTCACGGTTTCTCGACCCTTTTCACGGACGGGTGTGGACTACTTTGGTCCAATCTACGTAAGGCTCGCTCCAAGGCATCCGGCAGTCAAAGCCTATGTAGCGATTTTCATTTGTATGAGTACCAAGGCCGTGCACACGGAACTTGTCTCGGATTTGTCAACCGACAGATTTCTTCAGGCACTGAGACGGTTTATCGCCAGGCGAGGGCGGTGTACCGATGTTTTCTCCGACAATAGCACCAACTTTGTCGGTGCACGGAATAAGTTGCAGGACTTCCTCAAGTTGCTCAAGAACAATGAACACCGTGAAGTTGTCACCAGGGAATTAGCCAAGGAAGGAATACAGTGGCACTTCAACCCTCCGAGCATGCCACACTTCGGTGGCCTATGGGAGGCTGCAGTTCGGTCAGCTAAAACCCATTTACTGAAAGTCGTAGGAGAAGCACCAGTATCCCCGGAAGACATGAGTACACTGCTCACTCAAGTTGAAGCATGCCTCAACTCTCGCCCTCTCACTCCCATGTCAGATGATCCGAATAATCTACAGCCGTTAACGCCTGCTCACTTTCTGGTTGGAGAATCACTGCAAGCGTTTCCCGAGCCAGACTTTACGGACGTTCCTCTCCATCGACTCAATCAATAGCAGCTGACCCAGCGAAGGCTGCAAGACTTCTGGAAGCGCTGGCGAAGCAAAATTGTCAATCCAATTTTTGATTTCATAACTTCAACCGTGAATTTCCGGCGACGTTCTGCCATGGATTCCTCACAGCGCACATATTTTCAAAACATTAGGATGAGCGAGGTCATTAAGGCGATGACCGTTGCCAAGTACAACTGTCATTTTGGGGTCATTCTGGAATTCTTCCGGATGGTGCTGGAATCGCTACCGGAAGGCTTCGAGATCGGAGAAGCTCCACTCAAGACGATCGAACTGTTCAAGGATCTGATGCGGAAGGCTTTGGTGTTTCAGAATAGTTTGATCGAAGTTGGGAAGAGGGTGGCATCGTTTTCAGAAGCTGATTGAAAAGATGACCATGAAGGGACTGCTGCCGATTCGGAATGTGATTAGTGGGGAGAGCGAGACCAAGAGAGAGGAAGTGAAGGGAACGTTGAAGATGTTGGTTGATCAATTTGGGGTGAAAAGATTCGTGACGGAGCTGAAATTACAGGCGAAGGAGGTTAAGTGGAATTGTAAGATGTTGATTGGTCAGTTGTTGGGTTGGGGGGCTCCTAAAAGTCGACATCGGTGAGTTGGTTGAATAATAGGTTTAGCTCTCAGAGACGCCCTGGTAACCCAGCGCTTGAATTTGAATATTTATAGGCTTGGCAGAGAAGAAGTAGTTTTATCAGTGGTCGTTTACAATGCATCAGCCAACCGACATTCACTTCCTTGATTCGTTCTTCATCGTAACTGACATCGATTAATTCACCTTCGATGATCACTCGGACCATGTTGGGTAGAATCTTCACCGGTATTTGCTTTCCTATCATCTACAGCGCCCCATCTTTTACAGGTTTTCTCTGGCCGGCACTTCTTTTCGCTAGAGACATCATACTTCTCTCCATATTAAACCGAGTATTGAACCCCACCTCGACCAGGGAAGTCTGATTCCAATTGAAATGCCTACTAGAACGCTGACGCGTCGTCTTTGACTGAGTCGATGGTTTTCGGGAGAAACTCCTCCCGGAAGCGTTCATCAGAATCTGAAAAGCATCTGGACCAGTTTCCTTTGATGATGCACGCTCGCTTCGTCTACCTGTGGTTCAAACGAGTCATCATCATACTCCAATCCAGTAGAAGTTATTGTCCTGTCGGCAAATGGAAATGCTTCCTCCGGAGAACGTTCTCGCTCGAAGCATCGATTCGGTGGCCGAGCCCGTTGCTTATTAGGTTCAGTGTAATCCTTTTCCGATAGAATTTGGGAGCAACGAACCGAGAGTCACGGCAGTTAGGGATCTGGGATAGGATTCAACTGCTTGTTGTTTTGTTTCTTCTAAACAAAACATGTGAACTGTCAAATCAACCGGGTTGCCGAACATAACATTATACAAACAAAAAAATTCAGTCTGATGACACGCTCGGTACTGTCGGCACACGTTAGGCACGCTGAGAAAAAAAGTTGGCGCAAAATACGTGTGTAGTGTGACCAGCGAGTGGGCTACTACTCTGAAGAAAGAAAATGAAGCAGAGCGCGTGGGCTACTGCATGATTGAATGAATTCAAAATGGATCAGAGCGGGTGGGCTACTTTTTCAAAAATCATAAGAAAGTGATAATAATCACTATGAAGCAGGACGTGTGGGTTACTGTTCTAAAGTATTAGAATGATAAATATTTAAAATAAAAAAATAAAAATAAATGCAGAAACAGTTGGTTCCTGCATACTTGAAAGAAATCAAGAATTGCATATTAAGACCGTTGCTTTTTTTTTCAATTTTAGACAAATCGGTTCGAACGCCGCGTGATCAGAAAAAGAAAGCCAAAGAGATGGCCAGAGAGCTGGCGAATGCAAGGTCTAAGAACGCGGCTCTGGAAAAAGCACTGGAACGTAGTCTTCAAGTGAACACAGAGCTTCAAGCTTCACAGCAAGATGGCGTCAGACAGACGGAACCGGAGGAACAGCCCGAGATTGAATTCGATGTTGACAATGGATTGAGCAGTACGAGACGTGTAACGGGTTCCAGCTTCGAAGAGTGGAAATTCTTATCATCGATGAATCAGCTCTCTGTAGCGTCTATTAATGTCCCGGAATGTAAAGCAACGGACGATGACGGAATTTACCGTCATACATATGAGCAGTGGAAGGACTTGCTGAGTGATTCCCTTAAGCTAGCCGGCATAGAGGACGAAATGACAAAGTGAAGGCTGCTGCCCGTCTGCTCGAGATATTTAGGAACACGAAGTCAGACGCCGAGTCTGTAAACTATTGTTGTGGAAGACAGCCGTGTACTCAACTGCTGCTGATTTGAAGGTGAAATTTGACACAAACTTGAACAGACGTTCAGTTTTTGCGTCTTAAGTGAAAAATGTGTGTTGCTTTGCTCACTTGAGAAGACGTTTGAAACCATCCAAGGTTTGAGCCAGTACACGGCATTCATTCTGATTTCCGAAGAAGTTCAAAAGTTCCGTTGCAAATTAGGCGTGGTTATCACAATAGGGTGGACCTTTTCCTTTTTGGCAGTAAGCCGGGAATGTTCTCAAATAAATTTCATCAGAAGGGGGATCAAGAGATTTCCCTTTTCTTTTGCGTCTAGGTGCCATGGCGGCGGAATAAAGTTTCTCCAAATGGACTTCCAAGCAGATTACTACAAGAATCCGAAGAAAAAATTTCAAAATCGATATTCAAGCGGGATTACCTCGGGTAGGGTTCAAACAAGGATCGAAGAGGAATAGGAATCGAGAAAAAGGAGAAAAAGTCCAAATAGATCCGCACGGCAAGAGAGCACGATGCGGACTGATTAAAATCAGATAAGAATCGGTTTTACACAGCCAAAATAAAACTGGTATTACCATTAAGTGACAATAAGCGTTAGACGGTAAAGGATGTGTTGTTTGTCTCTGAAGTTGAGTATTTGTGGCCTATTGAAGGATTGTACAGAGCTTCTCTTCTGGAATTTATTAAGTGCGTTCTTGTAGAAACATTTGGCATGGCAGTTCCCATATCAATTAACAGAAAGGCGTTCCGATAAGAATGACACCCTTTATAATTGTACAATTACCATCTCGTCTCTTGCTCTTTTCATCCCCATGAAATAAATGCAAAGCAGAATCACAATTAACCCTGCCTCATACGCTCTTATTCCCTATTCCCTCCAGTATCAGCCGGGAGAGGGAGGCAAAGACCATTTGTGAAATTAAAAAGTCACATTCCGTAAGCCGATTTGACGGGTAGACTGCGTGCTCCATTGCCGCTAGAAATAATAGCGACAGTTTAAAAGAAAATTGAAACCTCTGATGAACCTTGAAACAATGCCGCCGACGACGAGGGTGCGCTTCTGTCATAATTGGAATCCTCTAATTTTAATTGTTTAAAAGGTTTCTTTTTCGTTGCAAATTTTTTGAAATGAAAATCTAGATAAAAAAAAAATTGAACCAGGAGCCATCATTCCAAAGATCAACTTCCTTTCAATTACGTTGTTTGAACTGTAGGACAAAACAAAAGTGGGGACAAATTTGAGTCCTTCTACCTTCGAGTGGACTTGATTGACACTGGCTTCACCATTATCCCAAATGTTTTCACCGTTCGTTGTCCCCTTTTGTCAATCGTTCATTTCATTTATTGAACCGACCGGTCTAGTGCAAGATAGGTGTATGTATAGGTGGCACAGTACTCGCGGTCATCTAGTGTTGGTGAGTTATTTGCCTCATGGAAAGTTCACTTTTTTGCCATACACAATGCCAGAAAAAAAAAACGGGTGGATTAGGACAGATTTTGACCTGTTCCATACGACCGGAAGGTTGGTGGTCACAAATGCCTTTCCAAATTTATTTGGCGCGAATAAACACGAGAAGGATTCATTATAGCAAAACTTGACATGTACAATCGTCATAGTCCATTTTAGTAAATACACTAACACTTCTTCCTTGTGTAGCACCTTTACTAATCCATCTAGGGTCTAGTGGTGGTCCTTTCTGGATTGGGAAATGTCCTTTTGTCGGTACAGTGTCCGGCTGTGTAATGCGATTAGGTTTGTTTCACTTAAGGGGAATCCTAATTCGATTTCTCGTTCTGAAGAGGCAAAAGTAATTTGCTTTTTTGTTTGGACGGAAAGGTTCGCAATTGTGCCTATTTTTCTTGAGCCTATTTTTTTTTGTCGCTAAAGGCTCTTTGACGAGTTGTGAATTGGATTTTTTTTTTCGAATGCTTCTTGGAAGCATTTTAGCATAGGAAGCAGATGGCACCTGAAATTGAATCATGATGGGATTTGGGTGGGAGGGGGTGGTTGAGGACAGGCCAAGTTTCAATTGGGACGGGGTATGTATTGCATTTAGTATGAGCTTCCCTTCATTGGTTCGCAGACATAGGCGGGATCGAATCATCAGCTATCACTAATCAAGACAGCTAAATGACAAAGATCAGAACACATGCACACAACGAAGCCTCTGTAAGCCAACAATATCAACCAATATTTAAAATGGTTCAATAATTAAATTAAAGATTACGTTGACACATTTTTCAAATTTCTGTTGCTTATTCCAAGACTGCGAGCGCCGGAAACCACCCCCAAAAGTTTTCAGATTACAGTCAAAAGCAGCACCAATGTGTACCTTACGGTACTGCACGATACTGTTCGACTCGGAGGATGCCAGTCAATCATCTTTTCTATTTTCAATGAATATTCAAATTTTGTATTCATAAATCTTCCAACCAGACAACATCATCTAGTTGAGAATTGTAAATTTTGCAACGGAAGCCACATTATGTAAGGTTCCGTATCTAATTGAATATGCATAACGCACAGCGTTTGATCTCAGTTCTGCAGACGTTCCGAATATATCCGGTTCATTGCATGCCTGAGTGCTCCCCATATCAGCAGAATAATCCACGCACACAAAACCAAAAGTTGGAGTTGCTATAACCTCCTTGCCGTACCGTATCTTCTGGGAATTCATCCATCTGTGTCAATCAATCATCGGATCCGA